ACTGTACTCAGTTCCTCAAAGGTAAGTGTGCTTGTACCGATTATTCTTTTGAGGTGAAATTGGGTTGACTTCACCCTCCAAATCCCTCCAAAGTTTGGAGCGTGGGGTGGGATAAATTGCCAGCTTGTTCCATTGGTTGCTAACCAATCGGCTAATTCAGGTGCTACAACGGACCCTTGATGCGTAAGCAATGCCTTCAACTCCTTGTTAGCTCCTACGAATGTGGTGCCGTTGTCACTCCACAACTCGTTACACTGCCCTCTACGGGCTGTAAAGCGTTTAAACGCTGCTAAAAACGCCTGCGATGTCGTGTCGCTAACAACTTCCAAGTGGATGGCCCGACTGGCCATGCACACAAACAAACAAATGTAGCCTTTGGTTGAATGATGACCACGTCCCCTTGTCGACCTAACGCTAATGGGACCTGCGTAGTCAACACCACTCCTAGAAAATGGTCGGCTGGCATTAACTCTAACAGAAGGCAACGACCCCATTAATGGAAATGTAGACCGAGCGGAGTATCGCATGCAGACAACGCACCTTCTGATGTATTGTTTAACAACGCTCTTTGCACTTACTATCCAAAACTTGGATCTTAAATAATTGAGAGCCAACTGAGGTCCACCATGCAAGGTACGCTCATGTGCATCTACTATTAAAAGGTGAGTCAAGTGAGACTTACGGGGAAGTATGATAGGATGCTTAGCGTCTTCGTGGAGGTTGGCCTTCTGCAACCTGCCGCCAACTCTCTAAACTTGTTCGTGATCCAAGTAAGGATTGAGCGAGGTAAGTGCCCCCTTTTTATCTAGTTCTCCCCTTGACATTAAAGTATCTATTTCTGATCCAAAATATTCCCTCTGACAAATTCTTACACAGGTGAGTAATGCGCCTTGAATTTCCTTAGGTGATAGGAGATTAGTACATTTTGACTTCGCTTTATTTTGATTTTGCTTTTTAAATTTCAGGAACCGTTTACAATAGGCTATTACTCTGGTAAGTTTCCTCAGAGATGAATACTTGGTAAATATAGAATCCTCACTCGTGTCTTTTACTACAGCATTGCATGTAACTATTGACTTTCTTTTCTCAAGGTTGGTCTCTTTAATTTCTCTCCTACTATAATTAATATCTTTATTTTTCAGCCAACTAGGTCCTCGGATCCACAGCTCAAGATCGGCGTGTTCAGAAGGACTCACACCACGTGAAGCGCAGTCTGCGGGGTTTTCCTTGGACTGGACATGTGACTATTGCCTGTTCTCCATGGTGGTAAGTATATCAGATACTCGATTCCCTACAAACGTTTTCCAGCGGCTGGGGTGACTACTCAACCAGGAGAGAACTACTGTTGAGTCAGTCCAGGCATGAGTATTTTCCTTACAGATGCCTAAGGTGACCGAAACTTCATGGAGAAGTTTTGCGAGAAGAACAGCACCACATAATTCCAAACGAGGAATGGATACCTGTTTGACAGGGGCTACCTTAGTTTTAGATGCGACTAGACTGACATGAACAACACCATTGGAATCAATGCAACGACTATAAACCACAGCCGCGTAAGCGACGTTAGAGGCGTCGCAAAACCCATGGAGTTCCAGCAGAACATCATGTTGACTCGTCTGAATCCATCGTGGTATGCGGAACTTCTTTAGCTCATGAAGGATGTTTCTGTAACTTAACCATTCTTTCAACAAGTGATCTGGAAGCTCCTCATCCCAGTCGGATCCTGCTAACCATAGACGCTGAATGAAGACCTTGGCTGTTATTTTCACTGGCGCAAGCCAGCCAAGAGGATCGAATAAACGAGCGATATCTGAGATCACCTTGCGCTTGGTTATGGGAATTTCAAGCGGAGGAAGTTGGACGGTATAATTAAACTGATCTAAATTTTTATCATAAGTTAAACCTAATATCTTAGAAAGTGTATCCCTATTGAGGTCTAAATGATCTCTTTCACTGGTTTCAACATTTATCTTATTCAATAACTCATTACTATTGCTAGACCACTTCTGAAGCTGGAAACCCCCCTGGCCTAACAACTCATTCATCTGGTGATAAATTTGTTCACCTTCCGCAACTGATTGACAACCAGTTAACAGGTCATCAACATAGAAATCGTTACGGACAATGTCTGCCACTAAGGGAAAATTCTGTCCTTCATCACGAGCCAATTGTTGCAGCGTCCGGACCGCTAGGTATGGTGCGGAGGACATACCAAATGTAACTCGTAACAGCCGAAGATGTTGCAGCTCTGCTTCTGGACTATCACGCCATAAAATGCGCTGATAATCAACATCTTCATTTGCTACCCTAACTTGACGATACATTTTGATTATGTCTGCTACTAGACGTATAGGATGACATCGCCACCGCATAATTGTTTGACGCAAGTCAAGCTGTAGGGTTGGGCCAACCATTAATTCTTTGTTCAATGATACACCGTTATGGCCTGTACAAGAAGCGTCAAAGACGACCCTAACCTTGGTAGTGCGTTTATCTTCACGAACCAACGCGTGGTGTGGTAGATAGAATGCATCGTTATGTAATTCTACCTGCGGAACAATTTCAGCGTGACCCAGCTGAATATATTCATTAATGACAGCGCTATACTGGTTCTTGAGTTTTGGCTCCGTCAACAATCGTTTTTCTAGGTTTAGAAATCGCCTACGAGCAATGATCTCTGAACCACCAGCGGTGCAACGGGGTTGATTGGTTTTAATGGTAGTTTTACTACTTAACGCCCTGTTGTATTACGTTTGGTTGTACTGGAGTAGAAGTCTTCACACTTTTGTTCTTCTTCCTCCGACTCCAACTCCCAAAATTTATGAAGGAGATCATTGACGTCTGGTGCTACCACCGTGTGATAACACATAGGCCTAGAAACTGCAGACGATTGAATCTCACTCGATACGATCCATCCCAATTCAGTGTTTTGAGCGATTGGCGTTCCAGCAGGACCCATAACTAGGCCCTCTAATAACACTTCGTCAACTACCCGAGTCCCTAATAACAAATCGTATGGAATGATGGGTCAGCGAGTTGTAAACTTGAAATGGATGGTGAAACCTTAATAATCCTTTTATCGGGAAGATGATTTGTGAGTTTTTTTAATACGTAGGCATCAACGACTAAACTAAAATCGGGATTAAGGCGAGACTGCAATTTGAACGTCACGACGGTCACTGCACTACCCTCGTCATCGCCTAATCTATGTATCCCTGTGTGAGTGGGTCTTTTGCGTAGTCCTAAGAACTGAACTGCGGCCTCAGTGATAAATGAGACCTGAGAGCCCTGATCTAACAGCGCTCTTAAAACCTCAGTAGTTTCAGTTCTCGACTCCACATGGACTAGAGCTGTAGCTAGTAGCCCATGGTTATAACAAATGGGGTTGGTACTCTCCCTTTGAATAGATGAAACGGCTGCGGTGGCAACAACAACATTATTTTCTGTTGAGTTGTCAACAGAATCACCAGAAGTGGCGTTCCTTTTGGGGTGAAGTAATGAGTGGTGTTTCCTTTTACATACTTGACATTTTGTAAATTGGCGGCATTCATAAACAGAATGATTTTTAGCTAAACAGTTAAAACATAACTTGCTGGCTCGAACAAACTCACGACGTTCGTCAGAAGATTTCCTTGCGAACTGTTTACAGTTACATAACTTGTGGTCACCTGCACATAACACACAAGATTGTTGTGTGACATAAAAAATTTTTACAGTCTTGTTACGACTACTGTTGTTGCTATTACTTGATTTGTCAATTTTTGTTTCTAGAAATTCCAAAGAGCGAAATCTAGACTCAAGAAATGTTTTAAATTCTTCAAACGTGGGCAATTTATCACTGGAACCAATGTAGTTTTCCCATAATTTTCGCGACTCGTCATCTAATTTACTACTAATTAAATAAACAACAATAGTGTCCCAAGAACTGACATCAATGTCTAAAGTTAGCAAGCCATGTAGGCAATCTATGGTAGTATCTAACAGCTTCTTAATGTTATGTGAGGATTCTCGAGTGACAGTGGGTTGGTTTAAGAACCTTTTAAGCATACAATTTGCAAGAAACCGTTTGTTATCGTATCATTATTATTATCGTATCAACATTCCTCATAATTTGATGCGGTTACAGGAGTATGGCGAAGCAACTGTTCTGCTTCGCCCGAAAGATGACCCTTTAAATAATACAATTTCTGAACTGTATCTAACGATTGGTTATTATGAATTAAAGATAAGAATAGATCCCGGAATGTGATCCATTCTGAATATTGTCCCCAAAACACGGGCAAAGAAATTTTTGGTAATTTAACATTTGACTGGTTGCTATCACTCTTATTACTACTACTACAATTAGACATGCTCGTAACATTAATAAGTCCTTTCAATTCAGACTTATAAGTAAAGTAGATTTCTTCTGTTCTATCATACAAATCATTGGTAAAATAACTATTACTCTTCACATCTGATTCCGTTGCCCGTTCTATAATACTTCTATGTGTTTTACTAAACTCTTTCCATTGTTCCTCTAAAGATTCTAATCTAGTGGATGCATATGTTCGAGTTAATCTTTCTTTGGGCGACTTTTTGAAGTTAATGTGACCCTTTTCAATAATAACCTTGTTAGTTTGGACCTTTACTAGAGTTTCCATTTTTATTATAAATATAACACAAGCCAAACAAAATAAATAATACTTGAATCTTAGACATCTATCAGCAAATTAGGTCAAACTTTAACTACAGGCAACGGATAAGCTGTCAAGAGACAATGAGCCTCGTAGATGCTAAATAAATAGAAGAATTCGACGTTGATAAAACAGAAATCTACTAAAACAATGTAACTCAATCTTTAAAATTAGAAGTTAAGCACCACGACGTTAAAACAAGGTAAAACTATCAATATAAAAAAAGTCATCAATCAGGTAACAGAGAAATACTAAAGTTCTACTTACAGTTTGTCCTTTGCACGCACTTCACTGCAATCCAATTCCAAATCACTGCACTCCGATATGCACCAATGCACTGAGATACGTATACCGCGCTCACAGTTTTCAAGATGGGACCAGCAGTGCCCTCTGTCGGTGATTCAGGAAACTCTCGAAGTTGCGACGTATGTTGTCCACGAGCACCCTTGTATTAGCCGGTCGGCGCCCGCCTCTGCATCAGCCCTCTGCTCCAGTACCAGTGCACGAAGATCACGGCACCAAGACACCCTTGTATTGGTCGGTCGGCACCCGCTTCTGCATCAGCCTTCTGCTCCAGTACCAGTGCACGATGATCACGGCACCAAGACACCCTTGTATTGGTCGGTCGGCACCCGCTTCTGCATCAGCCTTCTGCTCCAGTACCAGTGCACGATGATCACCAAGACACCGGTACCAGGACCACGGCTACAGGATCACGACTCCAGGTACACAGCTCCGGGACAGCGGTTCTAGCACTTGCGCGCCAGCACGTCTGCGCTAGCACTTCTGCACCAGCACGTCTGCACCAGCACCACTACTCCAGCACTGAACTGCACTACTTCACAACTTCACAACTGAACTGCACCACTTCTTCGGCTCGTTCCCCAATCACCACGCAGGGTGATGGTTATGTGGCACTTCAGGGCAATCCACCCTGGTTTCTATGCCTCCGCGTCCGTCCGACTCGACAGGACCAAATGTACAGCAGGAGATTGATTAAAACAATCATAGAGAGTACTTAAATCATTTAATTAAATTGTTGTTACTGCATCCTTACAACCTTAACTGTGTTGACTGCACGGATGGCGTAGTGGTTTAAGCGGTCGCCACGCCGCTTCCTACCACGCCGAGTGTTGTGGGTTCAAACCCCACATGGGACGACACTTTGTGTGATCCACAAATTGTTGTTCTGAGTCTGGGTGTTCTTTGTGTCCGTTTCATGTATGTTTATAAAGTCCCCCGCGACACAGGATATATTCCTAATGCGGGAGTTGTCTTTAAAAAAAAAAAAAAAAATTAATAGCGCGATGCAGAAATCAACAAACAGTTGACAACGCCATCTAGCGCGTGCACTAACTAGGACTAGGCATGGGCTTGAACACATTGCATGTACATATATAAGATTTTATGGCAAGAATTCCTCGGTTTCATCATAAGATTTGTTTTGGAGAAATGACCTGAGTGTATTTTTACATTTAAAGTGAAATAAACCGTATATGGGGCAACTTAAGTTTATTTTATTGTATAGGTATGGACCTAAGTAAAAGAAAAACCTTTTAGTAAATGAAGCACGTGGTTTTGGAACGTTACATATTTTATCTGTACGACGTTTGGACATTTTATTGAATGGAGTATTTTTTTGTTGAGTGAGTACTGTATGTAGTATATATAATTGTCTAACATTAAGTACATCACACTTATTGTACAGTAAGGTGGACGCGAACATTATGGGCCTAAAAGTGGCAACTTTCAATATGACCCTACTTCTAGTGGCTTCAGGAACGTTTTCGCAGCGCCACCCCAACAGGAAATACAGTATGTAACAATTGATAAACAGACGGCGTAATACCCATTACGTATAATAGTTTGGTTTGCGATATGGCGAAGAGTTTTAAAGACGTAAAGCATGTTATGGACTCGACCTACGAGGTCACTTATATGAATCTTAAAGTTTAAGCATTTGTCTAGTGTTACGCCTAGGTGTTTAACGTGATCAACTGGGGATAAAGTAGGACAGTCGCATAATCCGGGCGGAGAGCGGATTTCGCCCTCCGCCCGAAGACGTGCGCGAGTGGCGCGAAGCCGCTCCCCGAGCCACCATGGTCAGATGGTCGCTCCGGTTGGGGACAGGCAGGGCGGCAGCTAGGGACCCTTACCTTCCGGCTGACGCAGGTGCTTTCCGGGCACGGTTGCTTCGGAAAGTACCTGTACTCGGTCGCTAGGAGGGAATCGAGTCCCGCCTGCCACCACTGCGACTGCAGTGAGGATTCGGCCCAGCACACGCTGGCGGCTTGCCCCGCATGGGCGACGCAGCGCCGGGCCCTCACTGCAGTCATCGGAGCAGATCTCTCGCTACCGGCCGTAATTCGCTCCATGGCCGGTAGCGACAGTTGTTTTACCGCGGTCGCAACCTTCTGCAAGGAGGTAATCTCGCAGAAGGAGGCGGCGGAGAAGGCCCGGGAGGACGACCTCCACTCGGACCTGATCCGCCGCCGGCGAACCGGGCGGCGGAGGCGCGCTTACCTGCGCCTCATGCTGCCCTGAGTGTGGCCGCGGGTGGACGGGATGGGTTCTCCCCTCCACCCGCATTAGTTGGCCAGCCGCGAGGGGCGGCGTCCGCGTGTGCCGGACGTCGCCTAAAGAGAGGGTCCACTGAGACGGAGCCCGCATCAGGAGCGGGCCGGCGCTGGGAGGGATCCAGATGGAGATAGCTACCTGGACCCCTCCTAAACTGGAAGCGCAAACAGGGCACACCGTGTGGTTTTAGTCGGTTCGAGTCCGACACACCGCCCCGCCGAACGAGAGCCCCGGCGGGGTGACGGTCCGAGGGGATTTCCACACGTAAAAAAAAAAAAAAGGACAGTCGCATAAGAGTTGATCTGAGGTGGGACAAGAGTGCGCTTTTAAAATTAGTGGTGTTATTGGTTGTGATATTGAGCTTTTTGAGAAAGTAATATATTTCGTTTTGGCTGTGTTTAATGTTAAGGTATGTGAATAGAGCCATTTCGATGCAAGATCAAAGCCAAACTGTGCCATGTGCATCAGGTCTGACCATGTATTACCGACAAATGTTATTGCCGTGTCATCTGCGTAGCACACGGTCCTTGCATTAGGAATTTTCAGCTTACAGAGGCCGTTTATAAATAATGTATTGTAATCCAAGTATGCTACCTTGTGGTCCATAGTAGATGGGTAGTTCCTCACTATAATAGCCATCAATTTTCACTATCTGCGAACGATTTGTTAGATAACTTTCAAATAGCTGTAGTTGTGAACCTCTGACACCCATCTGTTCAAGTTTGGATAAGAGTGTGACAATGGGAACCGTATCGAACGCTTTTGCGAGGTCTAAGAATATACTTAGAACCTTTTTGTTTTGATTGATACTTTGAACGATAAAGTTTGTGAGCTCATGAATAGCGTCAGAAGTTGATTTCTTCTGGCGAAAACCAAATTGGTTGGATGCAATTAGATTATCCCGATCTAGGTAGCCTACTAGTCTTTTATTTATTAAGCGTTCGACAATTTTTTATAATGCACTCAATACTGCAATAGGGCTATAGCTTTTCGGTAGGGTTCCATAACAACCCTTGAAGATAGGATGGATTATCGCCTTTTTAAGAACATTTGGAAAGACAGCTGTGTCACAATAAAGATTAAATATGTGGCTTAATATGGGTGCAAGAAGGTTAGAGTATCTCTTCAAAATATAAGATGGGATGCCATCCCAACCCGTAGAGGCGTTTGCACGCAGTGAGTCTATCGTTGAAATGACCTCGGCAATGTCAGTATATCAGCGAGGACGTGATGTCGCAGAAAGAAACTGCGGAACGGTAGAGGGAGATCTCGACTCCTTTCCCCAGCCGCAGAAGGCGCACCGGGCGCAGGAGAAGGGCGGACAACGCCCTTTTCCGGCCCCCATTAATGGGTCCAGGGGCGAGAGACTTGGGGAACTCCCGCCCCCTATTCGATGTACCCGAGGCGGAGGCGCGCGCGGGTGTCGGCGCGCGCCTCTGAGGCGATGCCCGGGGTAGTTAAACACCTCACTACCCCGTGCAGGAGACGAGACTCTGACAGACCGGGCCAGCACTAGTATGGGGCTGCGGAAGAATGTGTGAGGGGACACCGGGGTGGTTTTAGCCGGCGGAGGTAATCCATGAGGATTTTCCCCCGTAAAAAAAAAAAAAAAAAAAGGCCTCAACCTTTCGCGGGCTCGGTCTCACCTGACCTTTACTTATGATCCTACCGAGATACTCAACCTCAGTGACCAAAAAGGAGCATTTTCGAAGGTTTACCGAAAACCCAGCATTTGTAAATGTTTCTAACACCCGGCGAAGTAAATCAATACCTTCCTCGACGCTATTACTCATAAGGAGTACGTCATCAATATAAACCTACGTGCTCCCGGCGTTTATGTGTTCGCGCAACGTGTTATTAATTATCCTTTGATAGACGATCGGACTGTTAGCCAAAACAAAGGGCATTTTCAGGAATTCAAAGTGATCCTCTTGCGTTACAAAACCGGTTAGGTGTACGCACTCTTCTTTAATTTTAATCTGATGGAAACCAGAGGCTGACAGAGAGATGACTGCACGGATGGCGTAGTGGTTTAAGCGGTCGCCACGCCGCTTCCTACTGCGCCGAGTGTTGTGGGTTCAAACCCCACATGGGACGACACTTTGTGTGATCCACAAATTGTTGTTCTGAGTCTGGGTGTTCTTTGTGTCCGTTTCATGTATGTTTGTAAAGTCCCCCGCGACACAGGATTTATTCCTAATGCGGGCGTTGTCTTTTTAAAAAAAAAAAAAAAAAAAAAAAAAAAAAAAAAAAAAAAAAAAAAAGAGGCCATATCTAGGCTTGAAAAGAAGGCATAAGTACCCCGCCGATCAATCTGATCCTCTATCAAGGGGAGGGGGTACCTATCTTTGACTGTCACACGATTGAGAGCCCGAAAATCTACACAAAGCCGATCCGAACCGTCGCGTTTCTTCACGAGTATGATTGGACTAGCGTACTCCGAGGTCGAGCGCCTTTTGATACCCTTTTTTTAAATGACCAATGAGTTGCTCATCAATTCAAGGTATGAGATATTTTCTACTATTCAAAGATGCTGCAACGAGTTACAGGCATGTGTATTTTATTAAAAACAAAAGTGATGTCTTGGAAGTGTTCAAGAAATACAATGCTATAATTAAAAATAAATTCATGCATAATGTCAGAACTTTACATACTGACAATGGAACAGAGTATGTCAATAAAGCTTTCAAAGAGTATTTAGATCGAGAAGGTATAGTTCATGAACGCACTGCACCATATACGCCAGAGCAAAATGGTCGTGTAGAACGAGAAAATAGAACCATTGTAGAGAGTGCACGTTCAATGTTGTATGCACGAGATGTGCCATTGGATTTATGGGGAGAAGCTGTGAACTGTGCAGTGTATTTATTAAATAGAACATGTTCTACTCAAACTCCAAACACGACACTTAAGGGGTCGTAAGGGTTTAAACAGATCAAAGATGTTGATTATGATGAAAATTTCTCTCCAACAATACGTTATGATTCTATCAGGATTATTCTTTCTGTTGCTGCTAGGTATAATTTAGAAATTCAACAGTTTGATATGAAAACTGCTTTTCTTAATGGCTATCTCAAAGAAAACGTTTTTATAGATATACCTGAAGGTTTGTCAATTAAAAAAGATTATGTATTAAAATTAAACAAGTCACTATATGGCTTAAAGCAAGCATCTCG